TGGAAAGGCACCATTAATGCAGAGAACTATGTTCAGGTTCTAGAACAGCATATGCTCCCATCTAGACATCATATCTTTCAGGGAAGACCCTGCATTTTTCAACACGATAATGCCAGCCCACATTCTGCAGCAATCACAACATCATGGCTACGTAGGAGAAGGATCCGGGTACTGAAATGGCCAGCCTGCAGTCCAGATCTTTCACTTATAGAGAACATTTGGCGCATCATAAAGAGGAAGGTGCGACAAAGAAGGCCCAAGACGATTGAACAGTTAGAGGCCTGTATTAGACATGAATGGGAGAACATTCCTATTTCTAAACTTGAGAAACTGGTCTCCTCTGTCCCCAGACATCTGTTGAGTGTTGTAAGAAGAAGGGGGGATGCCACACAGTGGTAAAAATGGACTTGTCCCAACTTTTTTGGGATTTGTTGACGCCATGAAATTTGGAAACAACAGATTTTTCCCTTAACATGATACATTCTCGCAGTTTAAACTTTTGATCTGTGATTTGTTCCTATTCTGAATAAAATATTAGATGTTGGCACCTCCACATCATTGCATTCAGTTTTTGATCACAATTTGTTTAGTGTCCCAACTTTTTTGGAATCTGGTTTGTATTTAAATGGTCATAAATTTTGTTTCAATTATAATGTATATGTAACTGACAAGCTGAAAAGATTAAACAACAATGTAAACAAATAGAACATTTATCTAAAACAATCATTTTAGGTTCCTTACTGTATCAAAACTTTTTGATTCATTTTATATCTATACCAAAAATAGGAAAAAATATAGGAGTGCATAAAATTTTGTAACTTTAATTACCAGTATTAGGTTAGCTTAGTTGCCTGAATTAAAAAAATTTAAAAAAAAAACAAACAAACAAAAAAAAATCTAGGAACAAATAATTCATCCAGCCATTATCTTTATCCACTTTTTCCTTTACGGGTCACTGGCATCACTGGTGCCCATATCAGCCATCACTGTGTGAGAGGTGGGGACACCTGGACAGGTCTCCAGTCCATCACAGACAAATAATTCAAAATATATAAATATTAAATATAAAAGTAAACAGACTTCAGCCTACCATAGTACATTAACCTGTAACTCAGTGCTTCTCAATTATTTTCTGTTATGCCCCCCCAAGAAAGAAGT